TCCCCAACCCGGACCGACTCCCTCTGGGCCCGCCCTGATCTCTGCTTCTCTTCTTCCTGGGACAGCCAAAACACTCGTCCAATTATAGCGTCTGACACTGTTACACTCTTATGATGAACCCTGTCACTGGCCCCAGGTTACAGGGAGGTGGCCCAGCAAGACAGAGTCAGGTGTGGGGTCGGGTCTGCTGGCCCTGGGGTCAGAGTCCATGTCAGCAGGGGGAGAGGGCTGCCCCAAGGCCTGCCCATGGGGTCCTTCCCCAGGCCCCTGCAGCAACCTGCTCTGCACCCTCTGCCCCCACCTCACCCCCTGTCTCTTTTTCCATAATTTTCTTGTTCAGCTGGGCCCTGGCCTGGCATCCTTTGACCCCCACCCCTGCCCATGTCCCCTGCTCACTTGTTCTCCAGCACGATATCCGGCCGCCACACCATGGTGGATGGTACCCTCAGCACCCACAGGCCTCCGTAGTTTTGTGGGTCCCAGCGCAGGCGATAGTCACACCACTGCTGCAGGGAGAAAGGTGGCTTCCAGGCCTTTGCTCTCGCCTGCACAGAGCCCAGGAATGGAAAAACAGCCCAGGAGGCAGGAGCAGCTTTGGGGGGCCAGGGGCCTTAGGGTAAGGACACTGGTAGACAGGAGGGCAGCAGGGGAGCCTCTTACCATCTCTATCCAGACATTGGTGGTGAGGGCCTCCTCTCGCTCGTTCTAGGGGTTCAGATGAAGGGCTGAGCACCTCATGCCTTGCCCCCCGCCCCCCCCCCCGTGCTATTCCCAGAGGTCATTGATGGAACCAGAGGCCCCAAGCCCTTGAGCAGTGCCCCCACCAGGGGGTTTCCTTATCCCTGGCAGCCCCTCACCCCAGTGGGTCCTTCCTCCCTCTTCTCCCCAGCAGTCCCAGGGCCTGGTGACAGCCCCTCTTCCCTCCCTCAACTCACCAGGGAGATGAGGTTGGTGAGGGTGAGCTTCAGGCTGACATTGACGACATCAGAGTCCCGCTCTGCGGGCCGCAGGTGGGGGTCGTAGCTGTGCATCAGGTCAGCAAGCAGGCGCGCCTCCTGGTTCCAGCCCTGGGCCCCTGCAACAGACGGCAGGAACTTCAACAGCCCCCCAGAGCCTCTGTGCCCTGAGGCCTTGGGCCCCTGCTCTGGGCCCCCCAGACCCAGATTCCCCCATCTACCCATGTGGACGGCCAGCAGTGGCAGGAGGAACAGCAGCCCCCCGCCTCCATGCATGGTGCCTCAGCTCTCTCCAGCGACAGGGATGGGACAGCAACTCCCCAAGTCCAGGGTGGAGGGAGGGAGGGAGGGAGGGAGGGAGGGATGGACGGGGTGTCATGTGACAGCCTGCACTCCCACCCGCTCCACCAGCTGTCTGACCACAGCATTGTCAGCTGTCCCAGGATGCACACAATGCTGGGCTCAGGTTTCCTGGGCCCCCAGATGGGGAGGGACTTTCTGTCCCAACAGAGATGAGCACCCCATCCCCACCCTCAAACACAGAGGACCCAACCCAACCCCATTTCCCAGGTGTGGGAGAGAAGCAGGATCTGGGGAGAGGCGAGGTGGAGGCGGTGGCATGGTCTGTACACGAGGTTCTCTGTGATATGCTTGAGAACCCCAGATCTCTGCCACCAGCCTGACATCTTGGTGGGCCACTCCACTGCTCTGAGACACTGAGAGCAGATAGGGTGAAGTGCCCAGGAGAAAGACGCTTTGGCATAGTAGGCCATCCTCAGGTCCTCTGTGCCCTGAGACAGGGACACAGCCCTGGCAAGCTGTGAAATTGGAGGGCCAAGAAGGATCTGGAGCTCGGGGCTCTTGGGACTAGGACAGCTTCTGAGCAGGGGCTCCTCAGTGGAGCTCAGCCCTTATTAAAACACCCAACAGACTGTGGAGGCTCCTGTGGTGGCCGGCATAGCATGAGGCTGGGGAGACCCTGGGGTATGCCCCAGCGACTTGTAAGAACTCATGGTCCACTGAGGTGGCAGACAAAAATTGAGCTCATATTCCCCAAAACCAGATGAGGGGACCCAGAGGGAAAAGAGGGTGAGAAAATGAGCCCTACCTACTTTGTGGTTTGTGGCTGGGAAAGGGCGGGGGCTGCCCGCAGCCTTGCTCCAGCCCCTGCCTGTGGCCACCTATTCCAAGCAGATGAGTCGGCATGTCTCAGCATAAGGGCAAGAAGGAAAGTCCAGGAGCCCATAAATGCCACCACACTTCAAGCTGCTCCTGGTATCTGGGGGACAGGGCAACGCCTTTAGGTGCCTGATGTTGCCTGTGGCACTTTAGTGTGCTGGCAATCCGGAAGTGAGGCCCAACCTGGGAGACCTGAGAGGCTGGCTCAGAACCCAGCGCCCAGGGCCTCGGGTCCCTGCTGTGCTGCCAGGTCCAGGGGATGGGGGATGGTGGTGACAGTACCGTCTTCCCAGCCACCTTGGGCCTGACTTGCTTCGCCACCATGTTACCTATGGGCAGCCCATCAGCTGTCCCTGTGGTCACAGCTGCTCCTGGCCCTCCAGTTTCTTCCCCTTTTCTCTTTTCTTTTTTTCTTATATGTGTGTCGGGAGGGGAGGGGGTTCTGGGGATTTAGCCCAGGGGCACGTTTCCACTGAGCTACATTCACAGACCTTCAAATTTTATTTTGAGACAGGGTCTCACTAAGTGGCGCAGCGGGCCTAGAACTCAGCCTCCTGCCTCAGCCTCCCGATGGGCTTTGTTCTCACTGAGCATCTGTCTGTGAAACCCACTTCCCCCCGGAGTCCAAAGCCAATGGCCCCTCCCACCTCTGAGACCTCTTGCCTCCCCCTGTTGCCTCCCCAGGCCGCAGACTCAATTTCTCACCTCTTCTGCAGAGCAGTACCCCCACTCCTCTGCTCCCCCTCAAGCCCACCTTCGCCAAAGACCATCAGCAGCCTTTTGGTCAGGAGGCAGTGCTGAGGTGCAGGAGCCAGGCAGATGCTGCCCCACTGTCCTGTTCCTTCCCCACAGTGTCTGGGAGGGACCGGCATGGAGACTGGATCTCACCCAGGTAGGATGGTGCTGCATCTCCTGCTTTGTGCCCTCTCTGCTCCGGAGGAGAGGGCTGAGAAGGCCTTGGCTCTTAGGATGGTGAGTCCTCTGTGAGGGGCAGCCGCCAGGGGTTGGGAGACAGGGGGGCGGGGTCAGGTGCGAAGGGCAGGGTCCACTAGGAGAAGATCACCAGTGGGCATGCTCACTGCCCCTTATCCTTTCCCACCTCCTATTACAGAGGAGGGAAAACTGGAGTCGCCCCTTGGTCCCCCCAGGCAGGACTCCCCTAGACACCAAACCTGCCACTGCTCCCGGCACTCATGTACAATGGTGCAGTATTCACACATAACCCAGGTGGTCCTCCAGGGTGCTTTCCAACATCCCTAGATTGTGCGTAACACCTCATACCGGATGAGTGATGTGCAAATATTTGTTACTCTGTATTGTTTAAGGAGTGACAAGGAAAAAAGTCTGTGTGTCTATAGTATAGACAGGATTTTGTGTCTCAAATATTTTCAGCCCATGGCTGGTTGAATCCACAGATGCCACACCCATGGTGATGGTCATGGAGGGGTGCTGTACTTATTTCCCAGGCTCCCTTGCAGAATAGTGGAAGCCACGTGATGTTTTGACCAGACCAACGGGATGCTGTGGCACCTCTTGATGAACACTGCTTCATGATAAAAGGAGTCAGAAATGTCTGGCCATTTTGCTGCCTAAACATAGACGGGAAGTGTGGAGCTGGGGCAGTCAGCTTGCATCTGAGGCAACAAGTACAAGGAACAGGGCCCATGTGCTATAGAGATGGGAGCCTGAGTCCCTGATAGCTTTGTTGGACTGCTGAGGCAATGCAGCCACCACTGCCCCTAGACTTGTATTATGTGAGAAGGAAGAAAGCTTATTTTTTTTTAAAGCTCTGGAGAGAGAACAGGGACACCCTTTGGCTTCCAGAGAAGCTTCCCCTGAGTGTGACTTCCTGGCAGGGAAGGAGGTGGAGTACCATGTCAACCAGGGTGGACCGGTCAGGACTGGGGAAGCGGATGCTGCTGGTGAAAATGGTACAAAAGGCATCCTTTATTTTGAGACAGGGTCTCACTAAGTGGCGCAGCGGGCCTAGAACTCAGCCTCCTGCCTCAGCCTCCCGATGGGCTTTGTTCTCACTGAGCATCTGTCTGTGAAACCCACTTCCCCCGGAGTTTTCAATGCCAATGGCCCCCTCCCACCTCTGAGACCTCTTGTGTGGCATTCTGGAGTTGTCTTCTGTTGAAGGTCCACAGTAATCTGAGCAGGTGACCCAGCTGAAGACACCTGGAGGCTAGACTAAGACCCACTGCTAACAGCGCCACCGTGTGGCCATGGGGAGAACTGCATTTCCCTGGATTCGGGCCCTCTTTCATCTCCGTGCAGGAATCAGGGATCCTCCCTGAATTGTTGGATGATTCTGGGGAAGGCCTGGACTTCCTGCTTGGCTGACCTGTGTGAGTTTAAACTGGTTTTCTTATTCAGAGAAAATGAAGTTTTGCACCTTGAATTTGTGGAAGGCAGAAGTAAATAGAGTCAGCTTTGGCTTTAAAGGGTCACAGCTAAAGATGGAGAAGCTCACCTGTGGCCTGCTGAGGTCACCAATCTCCTCTGAGGGAGATGGCTTGAGCCCTGACAACCCAAAGCCTGTGCATAAAGGGGTGAATAATCGGCCCACTGTACCTTCCTGTCCTCTCCCTGTCACTGTGCCAGGCTTGGATGCCCGAGACCTGGGTACAGTCCTCTCACGGGAGCCCCCTGAGGCCTACAAATGAATATAAACACCCCTACTAGCCAATTCAACTTTCCCAACACCCATGTGTGGGACTTACTACACATACATTTTACAGATGAGAAAACTGAGGCTAAGAGCTGAGTTGCAGCTCTGTCAAGGTCACACTCCTTGTGTAACAAATTACCCCAAACTCTGTCACCTACAACAACAAACATTTATTATTGCACACTGTTTTGGAGTGTTTGGAATCCAGGAGCAGCTCAGCTGGCTCAGGGGCTTTCAGGGGGCTGTGATATCTGGAGGCTTCACTGGGGCAAGAAGATCCACTTCCAAGTTCACTCAGTGGCTGTCGGCTGGAGGCCTCTGTTCTCTGCCATGTGGGCATCTCCACAGGGCCTCAGCTTCCCAGATGGCTCCCCAGAGTGAGTTACTGTGTGTGAACGGGACTGGCTGTGCCTTTTATGACCTTATCCCAGAAGTGACCTACCATCACCTCCGCCTCATTCCGCTGGTGACACACACCAGCCAGCTTCCAGGTGGACGACTGCACAGGGTGTGAATGCCAGGAGGTAGGGGTCACTGGACTATCTTGGAGGTGGGCCAACCACGACTAGGGTTCCTACAGCATCAGCCTTTGGCCCTTGGGATAGGAGGCAGTGGGGTTCCCTTTGGGAGAGGATTGACACATTTAGCAAATACAAATACAGGTTGCCTGGTTAGATATGAATTTTAGATAAAAATGAATCATTGCTTAGAGTAAGTATGTCCCAAAGATTGCCTGGCAACCCTACTGTGGGGAGGAGGAGCAGCACTCACTCCAGGGGGTCCGAGATCTAGCACTCTAGGGTTATACATGGGACCTCAGGAAGACCAGGACCCTGGTGGATGCCAAGACCAGCCCTCTGACACCAGCCCCCGGCTTCCTGGAGAGACCCACAGCACCTACAGCAGAAAGGACTAGAAAAATCACACTGGACCCTGCTGCTCCCACCCTGCAGAAGACCTCCTTCCCCAGGCCCGGGAGAGAGGAAGACACTCACCCTCGGCCCCAGCTGGGCCTTCAGAAACCCAAGCTGAAGGTGGGGGAGCAGGGGGAGCCGGGAGCACAGGCCCAGAGTCCTGCCTGCTCTGCCCCCTTGGGGAGGGAAGGCGGAGAAGGGCACCGTCTGTGGGACCCTCATAGCACTCTTTCCCTGAGGCTGGCTGCAGTGACACCATCCTTGGTCCCTGAGCAAGCCTCCTCGTCTCCCCAAACCCTCCAGCCTACTCTACCTTCAGCCCACATAGGTGGCTCCTGCTCTTGAGCAGGGGCTGCTCCGGGCCTTGCCTTGACCTTGGCCCCAGCCTCGTAGGACAAGCAGATACAGCCCAGGGCTTGAGCTGGCCTCTCCTCTCTGACTCACTGTCCACAACGCTGCCCAGCGGGGCCACCCTAGATGAAGCGCTTGTCCTGCAGGTCATAAGAGAAGGGGTCCCCGGGGAAAGGCTGGGGTGGAGGCTGGTTGTAGGTGCCCTGCAGGAAGATCCAGGCTGTGCCTATCACCATGACGGGCGTCACCACACACAAGCACAGGCGGTCCACTGTGCGGGCCACCTGGTTCCAGCTGTCCTTCTCCTGGAGGAGGGGGCAGACACCATGAGGTGAGGAGGGTCCTCAGACTGCAGGTCTGGGGGGACCTCCAAGCAGGGCCCAGCAACAGAAGTGTTGGCCTGGCCTCCACGTGTCTGTGAGGACGTCTTGGGCTGGCAGCACATAGGACGGATGGGATGTGCTGGCATGGTCCCCAGCAAGGGCTTAGGCCCCTTGGACACAGGCAGGACTGGTCATTGTGTCTGTTGGGGGAGGAGACCACAGCCACCCTCGCTGATATACTGCAGGGTTTCAGGGGCCTGAGGACATGGGCAGGTCCCTCTGCTCTCTTGGAGTGCTCCCAGCTGCTCCTGGCAGCTCCAGGCCACAAACTGGAGACGAGACTTTCTCCAGGGAGAATTTTAAAGTTACACACAGTAAACAACCACATATGGCTGGGCCTATCTGGCTCTGTCCCGAGTAGCAGGCTTGGGGTTGGGCAGGGACAGAAAAGGTAAGCCGTGGGAGAAAGAAGGGACCCAAGAAATGCTCAGAGTATGGCCTGGCCAGGGCGGGACCATGGAGCCATGTGTGTCCCTGCGGATGCCTGGCCGGTGTGCTGCTTGGGCAGCTAGACGGGAATACAGGCCTGGGATCCGTACCCACCATGGACTCCCCCATCGAAGTCGGGGTGTGGATGTGGGGGGAGCAGCACCTCTTAAGGCAGGACACGCTCGATCAGCCAGTGCGCTACGTGGACACTGCGCGCTGCAGCCCGCGCCGCTCACCTCGTTGTAACTGTTCTGATCTTTCATGTGGTTAACGATGAAGTTTGCCCCCTCCACAGCGGGCTTCAGCTCACTGAAGAGCTCCTGCTGGGCTTGCTCAGAGCTTGCTGGGGGCCTGCCTGTGGACATGAGCCAAAGGGCATGTGTGAGGCCTGCCCTGTCACCTTCCATAGATGGCCCATGCCCCAAAGCCACCAAGGACCCACGGGCAGTGGTGAGGCGCCGGGCCAGCCCATGCCGCTCGGACTGCTTCTCAAACATGAGGTCACTGCGGGACTTGAGTGAGAAGTACTCCTCAGCCTTAGAGATGTAGCCCAGGGAGCTGCTCCTCCGGATCAAGGCCCCGGGGCTGGGCCCGTCCTCTGCCGGCCGGGACATGTGCAGGAGCTCTGGCAGGGTCTCCAGGAAGAGCTTCCGTGGCCAAGAGGATACAAGAAAGGCTGCTTCACAAATGCAGGGTGACCTTCACACTCCCTCATACTTGTGTCTCCCATTTCTGGCTGCCACAAGCTGCTCCTTCCCCTGACCCTGTCACTTATTTCCCTAATCCCCTACTAATTTCCCCTCATTACTCACAGCACAGAGCAAAACTTGGTCACTGAAAATAAATACTACCAACAAAACAGCAAGATCAATGCCCCAAATGCTGAGCTCTTCCCTTTAAATACTTAAAGATGCAAAGAGTCGTAGGCCGTCCCAGAACAGCCTGATGGCCCTGCAGTGCCTAAGAGGCAAGGACAGCCCTGTCCTGAGCACCTGCACCCCAGTCTCCACCTTCTTCTTTTTTCTCTCTTTATTTTTTTGGAACTGGGGATTGAACCAGGGGTGCTCTACTCCTGAGATACATCCCCAGCCCTTATTATTTTTGTTTTGAGACAGGGTCTAAGTGGCCCAAGCTGGCCTTGACCTTGTGACCCTCCTGCCTCAGCCTCCTGAGTAGCTGGGATTATAAGCATGCGCCACGATGCCTGGCAGCCGGATAAATTTTTACAGTTGCATTCAATTGTGTAGTCACCACCCAGACACAATAGCAAGCATTGTCCCCAAAGATGCCCCTCTCTCAATCCCTTCCCACCCGAGGGAGCCACCATCCTGACTTCTATCATCAAAGCCGGGTTTGGAAGGGCTGCAGATGTAGCTCAGTGGTACTGGGCTTGCCTAGCCTGCCTGAAGCCTGGGTTCAATCCCCAGTGCCACAAGAGAAAAAGAAAAAGACTGTTTTTGCCTGTTCTTAAGCGTCAGAGAAAGCCCACCAGGCTGCGTGCTTCCCTGCCTGGCCTCTCAGGGTTCGGCCTGCAGCGGAGGCTGGCGCCGCCCCTGTTTGACCCCTCTCCTGAGCTTGGCCCTGCACCACTTCCAGCTGTTGGCTGTGACCAGCACTCACCTTCTTGACGCCCTCGGACAGCATGTGGGTGCTGGGTGTTCGGAAGTGGATGTTGAGGGTGATGACACAGATCACCACCACCATGGTAACCAGGACCATGCCAAAGAGCAGGAACCTGTGGGCAACAGGCAGCCTGGAGCCTGGGGGCGGCGGGCACACAGGGCCAGGCCGGAAGTGGGCGAAGCCAGGCGTGGGCCACTCACTTGCCAATGAGGGGGATGGCCATGGACGTGGCAGGCAGCCGCTTGGAGATGAGCAGCAGGAAGACAGACTGGGCCAGGAGCACCGAGATGGCCACGGACGTCTTCTCGCCACCTGGGGAGCCAGATTTGGCTGGAACCCTAGACCTCCAGCCATAGGGCCCACCACAGTGGCTCTGCCACCACTGTTCACAAGGCCATGGTGACTGATCAACATCAGACTGTGGCTCTGCAGTGCCTGGGCTCAGATCCCAGCTCTGCCACTTACTGGTGGGGTGGCCTGGAACAAGTAGCCTAACTGCTCTGTGCCTGTTTTCTCAACACTCACGGGAGTGTCAATACCAGGCAAGTGCTGAATGGATGCTAGTTGTCACCAGGTGCCATGGCACCTGCCTGGAATCCCAGTGGCTAGGGAGGCTGAGACAGGAGGATAGCCAGTTCGAGGCTGGCAAGACCCAGTTTCAAAAAAAAAAGAAAGGCTGGGGGTGCAGCACCCCTGGGTTCCACCCCCCAGCACTGCAAAACAAAACAAACCCCCAACCATCACTGCTAGCCCAGCCCCTGACACCCCGCTACCCCTCTGAATCACAGAGCTGCGTGTGTCGCCCTCCTTCAGAAAGCTCTGGGACATCCGCACGGCACACGATGACACCCAACATGCCACCCTTCCAGCAAGGACCCAGCCAGCACTGCCCTGCCCTGCCCTGCCCACCTGAGCTCCTGGGCAGGAGGGTCACATGTGCCCCAGCCCCGCCCCTCCCCCCTGCACCTGCTCCCACAGTGGTCCTGTCTGGCAAAACTCCACCTCCTCCGGGAATCCTGCCCCCACCACCATTTAGAATGGTCCCCCAGTAGGGCCACCACCCAGGCCTGTGGCTTCACCGTCTGCCACAGGCAGGCAGGCACTGGGTGGCTCATGGTGAATGTCCTGAAATTGTAAAATTACTGCTTCCTGGAGCCACAGGAGCCCAGGCTGATCTTCTGCTCCCGCATCCCAGCCTCCCAGAGGCCCCTGGCCCACTCATTGGGTCAACAGCTGTGGCCTCTTGGATGCCAGGCCCAAAGCAGTGACCCTGACAGGCCTGGTCTCTGCCTGGCCACTCTCCCGGGGCCCCTGGAAAGCTTCTTGAGAGAGGCAGAGTGGGCCCCTGCCCTGGGCACTGGGGCTCTCAGTGGGCCATGGGCCTCCCCCAGCTGGCCTCCTGGCCCTCAGGCCGGGTGCCCCAGGCAGGGCCTCCAGGAGTGACACCTTGTGGCCCCGGGGGAAACAAGGGGGCAGTGCTGGAAGGCCCTCGCCCCAGAGGCCTCAGGGGGCCTGGGTGTGGCCGGGCGGGGAGCTCACAGTCGGCAGGCAGGTAGAAGACCAGGTTGATCATGAAGGAGATGAGCACGCAGGGCACCAGGATGTTGATGACGTAGAACAGCGGCTTGCGGCGGATGATGAGGTAGAAGGTGACATCCTGGCGGCTGGTGCTGTCCAGCGAGGCACTGGGGTCCACGTTGACCCTGGCTGGCCGGTGCACTATCTCCCACTCCCCGTTCTCTGAGGGTGGACATTGACACCTTGGGATCAGGCCAGGTGCGGGGGGGTCCCAGGGACTGGGGCCTCAGGGGCAGGATGAGAGCTGGTGGAGTGAGGGGCCCGGGGCGCAGGGTCAGAGGTGGGGAGGCGTGGAGGTCTCAGGTTGTGTTGGTGGGTGTCTGTCCCCAGGGGACATTTTCTCTGTGACTGTTTTTTTCCCCTCTGGGAAAAATTGAAGCTGAGGCCAAACAGAGTCAATAAGGAGCGCGTCTCAGCTAGACTGTGTGCAGCTGGAGTAAAAAAGACTTCCCAGCTATTGCGCATGTCAAAAGGAAACTCAGTTGACGTCAACCGTCAACCGGGCCTCTCCTCCCCCTGGGTCTTGAGGATAACAGGGCCTCCCTTGATGTCCCAGCCTTGAGATGGGCAGGACCCTATGGTCAGGGGTAAGCAGTGGGCCCCATAGATCTGAGCCTGGTCAAGACAGGGGGTGGGGGTGACAGTCACCCCATCGGGTGTCACAGCCCACTCCCCCACCACACCCCTGGGGTGTCCACCAACCACCCCTCCTGTGGGCCACACCCATCCTCAGCGACCCCTGCTGCACCCAGAAGAGTATTTTGCCCTGGGTGGGGCAGCGGCTGTGCCCGCTCAGCTCTGCCGCTGGGTGTCCTGTGTGATACTGGGTGTGTGGTCCTCCAAGGGTGAGATGTGTCTGTCATGAGCGTCCGAGTCCTAGGTGTGTGGCTGAGAGGTGTCGGTGGGTCTGTGTCTACTCCTGAGTGTGTCACAGGGCCTCCCCACACCCCGCGCTGCTCCCAGCACCTGTGAAGCCCTCCGGGTCGATGATGATCCACTCCACGGGGTAAGCGCGGCCATCCTCCTCCTCCTGCTTCAGGCTCAGGGTGATCTCCTTGGCCGTGTACTTGAGTGAACTGGGGAGAGCAGTGGACAGAGGGTGACCTGCAGCCGCAGTGGGCCACTGAGGTGAGAGGGTTAGAACAGAGGGCCACTGTGGGTGGGTGGGGGTTGATCATTCACCTCCTCCAGCCTGCCCAGGGGGCCCTGGCGGTGAGGGGCTAGAGAGGTGGGCGCACCTGAACTTAAGGGAGCAGTTCTGCCAGTCGAAGGGGAAGTAGGTGACAGAGATGGGGCAGGAGGAGCGGAAGATGGCGGGTGGCAGCCAGTACACATAGCCCGAGTTGAAGACCAGCACATTGCAGGAGTAGGAAATCTGGAAGGAGCCGTCATTGCTGGGGACAGGGACACATGTCACTGTGAGCACTGACAAGCTCAGACCTGGCAGGGTTGGGGAGAACTTGGGGCTGGAGGAAAGGGGAGAATGCCTAGGAAAGGGAGGCGCCACTCAACTTATTCTCCAGCACAATCTCGGGAAGCCACAGCATGTCAGGGGGCAGGCGCAGGACACTGATGTTCCCAAATTCTTCAGCATCCCACTGTAGCCGGCTGTCTGTCCAGCCCTGGAAGCCCAAAAAGCATGTCAGCAGTGGGTTCTGCTGCTGTCCAGCCTTCCTCATCACTCCCACTTCCATCAGGAAAGACCGAACAGGACCTGGGAACTGTGGCAGATGAGGAGGGAGGCAGGTAAAAAGTGAGGACTCAGGTCTGTCACAAACAGCTGTTTACAATGTGCACTACACAATGTAAGGAGTATTATTTCCTATTTGTTTCTGTATTAGGAACTTCTGACAGCTCTGACACTTTTATTAAGAGTGTCTTGTAATAAAAATCAGAGTAGAGTGACAATTTCCCCAAAGATCCATTCTAATCTTCTTGAAATTGCCATCAGAGCTAGCAGGGGTCTAGGTGGGAGAGAAGGGCATCTGGGCCTGGGGTCTCTCTGTAGGGAGGCACTAAGCCCTTCTGGGAGACAGTATCCAGGGCAAACTAGAGGTCCCCTAGTGGGAGAGAGCACAGGGGACCCTGGGCCCTGGATCCCCACTCCTGGCCCTGAGGGGGGCATTCTCCTTACGTGCTCTATCCAGACGTTGGTAGTGAGGGTCTCCTCCACTTCTTTCTGAAATCAGACAGGAGGGCTGTCTGTCAAAGGGACACGTCTCTACCTGCTGCGCACATCCACCCGGTACCTCATGTGGCTGCAACCAGGGAACCCTGGCAGCCAGGCCCTCAGGGGTGGGAAGGCAGGCCAGGGAGCAGGAGGGCAGGTCATGGGTGTGGCATGGTGGCCACAGAACTGAAGCTGGAGGGGAAGGGACACCAGCCTTGGAGTGCTGGAAGCACACAGGGCTTGGGGGTGACAGTGTGTCTCCAGGGAGGAAGCTGCCCTAGGTGAGCTTCCTCCACGGCTATCCAGCACTGGAGAAGCTACCCTCCTTCCCCAGCCCAGCCCAGGAGGGGCCTCTTACCAGGGAGATGAGGTTGGAGAGAGTGAGAGCCAGAGAGACGTCCACACTCTCCTCTTTGCGGGTCACCGGCCGGAGCTCCTTGTTGTAGCCCTTCTCCGTGAACAGGTGCCTGATCAGCCGTTCCTCCTCGTTCAGGCCCCAGCTGCCTGGGGAGGGCCAGGGATGGCAACCGGGCACTGGGTAGGGGGCCCAGGAAGGAAGCGGCCCTGAGATCCTGTTGGGCCATCGGGCTGGGCTGAACAGAGGGGATCCAACCACCTCCTGGGCATGGGGACCCTGGAGGTCGGCCCCTCCCAGGCAGAGATGGCAGAGTGGGAGTGGGAATTGGGCATGATCCCAAGCAGGGGGCCATGCAGGGGGAGTCCAGGTGGGTGCACGAGGGACCCCAGGGTGGGGTGATGCCCTTACCACACACCACCAAGGTGGCCAGCAGCCCCAGTGTCAGCACAGGGCCCTCCATCCTGTCCCCTTGTCTGTGTGTGCCCTGCAGGGCCGTGGAATGAGGGCAGAAGGCAGAGGGGACAGGTGCAGGGTGGGGGTGGGGGCCCAGGGGAAGAGGCAGCCGGAAATGCAATCTGACACCTCAAGGCAGGTGATGAGGGGGTGGGGATGGACAGCCAGGGCCAGGGCCGGAGCCCAAGAGTGAGAGGCTGAGATCCCAGGCCAGGACTCTCAGAGGAGCAGGAAGGGTGGGACTAGTCAGCCGTGGAGGGGAGTAGTGACAGGCAGGCCAGCTGCCGCCTCCCAGGAGACAGAGTGTATGCTCAGACGGGGGCTTAGCAGCCCCTTCTCCCATTTCTCTGTGATCTCTGCCAACTGCTCCCAGAAACTCTGCCCACCCCCAGATCTAATGCCCACCCACTGCTTCCCCAGCCAAGAAAGCTCCAAATAGTCTCCACAGAATATAAATAGCATTTATTAAAGCAGCGGCAATTCTCTGATGGCACTCCTGGGAAGACCCAGTACCCCACCCGCCCCGTGCCAAAGGGGGCGGTGAGTTTGTTGGCTTGTTGCGATGATTCCTGCCTCCCTCAGCCCGGGAGCAGCAGGTCCTCACCATGGCTGCCTGGCAGGGGGAACCTGAGGGTGGAGTGCGTGGTGTTCCTTCCTCCCCAGCCCTGGATCCGGCCTCACACCCATCTGGGGCTCCTCGGGCTCTCCCTCTGCCAGGGCAGCCAGGCGGAAGGCCTGCAGGGCCTCCACCAATAGCCTGGGGAGGCTTCGAGCCAGTGTGGCCCGCTCTAGGCCCACCAGGCCACTGAAGACCACGCGCCGGCCTCCCAGGCCTGCCCGCACCCAGGCTCTGAAGAGCCCAGTCAGTGTCTTGGAGCCCAGATCTGCCAGCACCTGTAGAGGACGAGGTAATCAGGGACCCAGAAACCCAGGCCCAAGTAGGCAATGGGAGTCAGCCCCTCCCCCTGGACTCCAGAAACTCACCAGACTCAGGCCTGGCTGATTTCTACCCAGTGGCACCCCCATGCGCCCTCACCCCACGCCTCTCCACTCCCTCTGCTTATACCCACCATGCCCCAGCGCACACACAGTGGTCCCCCATCCACTTCCCTGGGCCCCCCTGGGGGCGGGGCAGGGGCATTCCGGGCTGGGGGCTGGGTTCTACCTCCTGCAGTGGGGTGAATGTCCCTCCTTCCTCCACCTGTCAGGGCTGGACTCTGTTCCTCTGTCTCAGGGCCCGCCTCATGCCAGCCTTCCCACGTCACCATGAAGGAGTCTAGGAAGCCTGGGGACCTACCTCCTGAAAGTTCATGGCCAGGTGCTCTGAGGGGACCTGCAGGATCCAGGCATGAGCCCCCTGAAGGGCAGCCAACTTCTGTCTCAGGGGCTCCAGCCCAGGGCAGCCTGCACAGAGGGGAGAGGCCTTGGAATAACAGGGAGTCGGCCTCCCGCCCAGGGTCAGGGTCCCGGGGGCAGCCATCCTCTGCTCAGTACAGGTGGGAAGCTGAGGCTCGGAGAGCTTAAACACCCACGCAAGGAGGAGTAGCTCTTTGACGCCGATGAGGACCCAAAGCCATAATTCTCCGCTTAACTCGTCCGCCCCACCGGGACCAAGGGGAGAGAGAGCCTGCGACGTTGCCGGATGGGGAACCCCTCCTAGCACAGAATTCCACGCCTGAAGCCCCTCTGGGCTCCGCCGGCCCCGAGGCTGCACCCCTCGGGAAGGCCGGCGGGGGGCGTCCTTACTGTTCGTCGCCCCGCGCTGCTCTGGCCTCGGCTTCTGGAACCACAGTCCCGTAGCCCTGGATCCTGGGGAAGGCAGGGTTAGGGGACCTGTCAGCTGGAGAAAGCGGCTCCGCCGCGCAGGACTGGGGCCCAGGGCCGGGGCGGGGCTGGAGGGCGCGGGGTACCTGAGTGTAGCCGCTGCTCGAGGACGGGGTGCCGCGGAGGCCGCCGGAGCCACAGAGCAGGGAGAGCCAGGGCGGGGGTCAGACGCCGCAGCCCAGGGCGCACCAGTTCCTGGGCGCCCCGCAGCAGGCCCAGCAGCGTATGCGCCAGAGAGCGCAGCTCTGCGGGAAGGACAAGGGTCTGAGTGGCGGTCAGAGGCGGCCAGGCCTCCCGTCCCAGGCGCTGCCCCTGCCGGGGGAACCGACTCACCGCATCGCCGTCGGCGTTGAAGGCACTGCTGGTGAGCCAAGCGCGCACAGGCGCCGTCGGATCCCGGGCACAGCCGGGCGTAGAAGGCACAGAGCCGGGCGGCGTCTGCCAGTCGCTCCTCCGACGGGTCCCAGGTCAGAAGCTCTCTGCAGCTGGGCTCACGAGTGGAGGAAGCGGCTGCAGGCCGGGCAGAGGCCAGCTCACCCTATGTTTGCTCCCAGCCCTCGGTGCAGCCCTTTGGGAGCTAGGGACCAACGCTAGGGTGAGGAGGGGGCAGACTTGTCCCAGGGCTGTTCGCGGAGCACTGTGGGGAGGAGGGAATTGGAAGGGGGCGCTCACCGCTCATCTGCTCCAGGAGCCAGTCTTTGAACACAGCCACACGGGTGTAGACCCCAGGTTTCCCTGGCTCCCCGCAGCCGTCTCCCCAGGAGGTGACTCCAAAGAGTACCTCCCTGGGGTGGGGGCCAGGCTCCGAACAGGTTAGGGGCCCTCCAGAGTCACCCTGGGGTACAGGAGAGAGCTCCAAAAGGAAGAGCTCACTGCATTCACCACCACCCCAAGCCCACCTTACACCTGGAAGGGTCTGTCTGCTCTGAGCTCTTTTGTACCCATTTTAGCTATAAGGACATAATTGCTCAGAGAAACTCAGTGATAGCAGTTTTCCAGGAGGAAAGGAGGCCATCCTGCCCCTGCAAAGCCGCCCAAGCCAAGCCCTCCAATCAGTCTGGGCTCATACCTGGCATGAGTCGATGCCCCCGGCCAGGTAACCGGCACAGAGCATGGTGCTGGGGCGCAGCCCAGGCCCCAGAGCTCTTTGGCAAGTGTCCGCGCTGAGCAGGGGGACGCGCGCCTCCCTCACCGCCTCAGCTTCAGGCCCGTCTACAGGGAAGAGGGAAGGGGTTCAGGGTTGAGGCCCCTCCCATTGTCCTCTTTGATTCCTTCCCTTAAGACTGGGCAATAATTTGCCGTGTGCCTTTACACTCTGGCCTCCCAAACTCCATCCCCTCGGCCCTCATTCTTCCCCCACACACCTTGGTTCATCCCCGCCTTGCCCGCTCAATACCTTCGAAGAGGGCTCCCCAGCCCGCAATGGCGCAAGCGGTGCCGGCTGGGGGCTCCCGGGACCCCTGGGGCAGGCACACGGGGCGCGCGGGACCCGCGGGGTTCACGGGCGTCCACAACTGAACCAGGGCCAGGTCATTGTGGAAGGTCTGCGGGTCAAACTGGGATGGGACGAGGGAGTAGCACAATGTCAAGGAAGATGGAATTGGGGTCCTGTTTCCAGCTCCGGGCTTGGGGACTGATCTCTCACCTTGGGGTGGGGCAAGATGCGGTTCACTGGCACCTCCTGGGCTTGCTCCCCCCGGGGCCCCTCAGCCAGCATCACAGTCCAGAGAAGCTCATTCGAAGCGCTGCAGAGTGAGCGGGGCTGATCACAGCAAGGACAAGGACGCAGGAGGCCCCTTGGAGCGCCTGACCCTCACCGAGCGCACCCGCACCACCCAGCAACCCTGGCTGATCCTCCTCAGGGTGGGGCGGGGGCAGGGAAGGCGGGAGGGCCATCCTCCAGGTAAGGCCAATGCCCTGGGCTGGGGTCTGCATGCTGGCTTGTCTGGTGCCGGCTCCTTGAACCTGGACAGGCCTCCGCCAGGGGGCAGCAGAGACCCGCTCTCTCTCAAGTCTTCTGGCTAGTCCCGGACCCACGGTTGGGGACTTAGGTCTGCAGGTGCCGAGGAACACCAACATACCCCACAAAGCAATGCGCCGCTGTGAGCACCCAAGACGCTGCCACTAGGACACCGCCGCACAGAGGCTGCCCGCCGAGTTGCAACCTCACTAGCCAGGGCCAGGCCCCGGGGGGAGCCGCGCTGCCCCCCACTATGCGTCCATGAGCCCGCGACACGTTGGCAGCTCCAGGGCTCCTTTCACCACATGACCCTAGAAAGGCAGAAGTAACATCGTGAGGGACAACTTCAAGCTGTCCTCACGTAGAGGCCCACCCTGCTCTTTGCCCTGCCCCCTGAGCCTTTTTAGCCTCACCTGGTTCAGGTGGGTCCTGGAGGAGGGGTGCTTGAGGCCTGGGGTGTCCAGGTCCTGCTGAGAAACAGCCTTTTGAACCTCACTGCCACCCTCTTGTGGCTCCTCCTCCCTAGGCAGGGCCTGAGCGCCCTCTGCTCTTCTACCTGCTTTGCACCCCACCTGCTAGCCCACAGGTTCTCAGCAGCCATGAATCTCTCACCAGTCACAGGTGAGTCCAGCCTGTTCCCACCTCCTGCCTTTCCATATGCTGCGCCCCAAGCTGGTATGCCCTTTCCACTTGGAGAGAACTCTATAAGTAGTGTGGTTCCAGCCCCAGCAGTGTCTGTCCCCAAGAGAGGGGGGTCTGGAGATAAGGGAGAGGGATGACAGAGAGAGCCCAGGGTAATGAGGGGCGTGAGTGGCCCACCTCTGCAGGTGTGCAGTCTGTGCTGAATCTCCATCTCCACCCGCTTCACTGCCCACTGGGCATTCCTCTGGGCAGCCTGCAGTGCCTGGGTCCCCTGGGCTGACAGAACTGCTGGGACATGGACACAAAATTAAGCATGGTTGGGGCAGAGTCTTAGTCTGCCCCAGCCCTGAGCCCTGCCTTGGGGGACCACAGGGAAGCAGGCTGGGCTACCAGAGGGCCTGGGGGTGGGGGTGGGGGGAAGGAATGCTCCAGGGCCCCAGGCCCAAGCCTCAAAGCAGATGGTCTCAGATTCTCAGCCCGAGAGATCTCCTTAATTCAAATAAACTGGTTGGAATCTCTCCAAAGCACTTGTCCTTAAAAACGTAGGAGGAAAACCGTCACCCCAAGATATAAATATCCCAGAACTCAGGCAGATCGACAGGAAGCGGCTGTGGTTC